AGAGTGTAATACAAATCTAGAATGTAATAATGCTGGGGAAAATCAGGGGAAAGTATTCAAATGGCCTTCATTTCTACTGGGCTTTTCTTCTGTATCCATTTCACACTGAGGAAAAGTCGTATGTGCCAGACACCACACTGTTACATCCATCTGGCAGGACTCTGACGCCATCTGCACAAACTCAAACATGTCCCGGCCAGTTGACACTACGCTCCTTTAAAAACATATCCTCTGTCTGAAATTGGAGGTTGTAAACAAGTGGAAGGATAAGCACTGATCTCTTTATGATTACTCTGCTCATGTGACTCTCGAACAGATCCAGCTTAGGTCTAAAGGAGAAAATGCAGTGCAGTAATTGTTTGTGATGACCTAATTCTTTTGGAAATATAAATGATTGTGGTATCTCCATCTTTGGCATCTGGCCTATAGATCCGCCCCATATATAAAGCAATTTAACTTCTTCAAGTCTTCAGTTTGTCACATACAGTTATGTCTTTTAATTATGGCCTTCAGTAATTTTTAGAGTGAAATCGCAAAATGGCTTACTGGATGATTAATTATTTTGTATCTTCTGAACACGTTTGACCAGATTGTTTGTTTATTCCCCATTGCACTGGAGAAGTGAATGTGAGGGACATAAGACCTTAAAGTAATAAAATAACAAAAAATATCTGGAACTTCCAAGAGTATTGGAAATTGATACTTTGATATATTTATATATAATTGATTATTATTCACTTTTGAGAAATCAGTGATGGGATGAATATCATATATTGGGAAATAACAGATATTATTCCAATCTATAGAACAGATATAGCCATCCACCCATCTTCTAACCACTGATCCAGAACAGGAGATCACACTGGATGGGAAGCTAGTCCGTTGCAGCATACATACTCACACACATACGATGAATAACGGAAAGAACATGCAGCTACATGGGGTTCAAGCCCCCAGCCCTGGAGGTTTAATGCAACAGTGACAGCGAGACTCACTGAGGTCCAGGACAGAGTCATTCCTACTAATTACTGGGTAATTAGCCTTACTTCCATTTCAGACAAAGTGAGTGTAATTGAGGTAAAGTGCACAATGTGTTTGTGTATTTTATTAGGTACTGAGGAAGTCATACTGTTAAATATGCTGGTGCAATCATTTCTGACATATCCAATATTATCTGGATCTGGAGGGTTGTATATTACTGTTTTTAAATTGTTTTTGCAATGTTTACATTGTAGATGAGTGTGTGTAAATGTGCCGTGATCTATATTGCATCATAGTCTCCACCAGGTGGGCTTTTATTAACAAGTGTGAAAGTGTGGTTCAGTTGTATGTTTGTTAACAGCATGCTTGGCAGATAGACCAAATATGACAAAAGTGAAATGGAGCAGCACCAGAGCATGTGAGCGGAGTGGAGCGGAGCGTGAGCGAGGAGCGGAGCGGGCGAAATTTGGTCAGAGCACGGAGCGGTTTTTTAATTAAGGCTAGAGCGGTCGCTCTGTCTCACTCCAATTTCGCTCCGATACAGCTCACACTACGACTCTGAGGCGTGCGCAAATCTTCCCAGAATTCATCTATACAATTATCAAGATTTAGATCCGCTTTGGAATCTAAAAAGACCTTTCTCGGAAACATGAGTGTGCTACGCGAACACGCGGAGGCCAGAGCAAAACTTGAGCAAGTTTTATATGGTTGTAGCATATTAAGTCTATAAAGTAAATAAAAGTATAAAAGCCTATAATTTGGTAATTAAATAAATTAGTTTGTCATTCAAATTAGATCTAATAGGATTTTTTAAATTCACGTAACGCTGTCAGTGAAATTTTATTTTATAGAGAGAGACGCAGCAGCAGCATCAACAGAAAATAACTGAGGAATTTAAAACGTGGATGCGCTTAGCCTGTATATTCTTTAGGCTATTAAGCCCACTGATTCCTTTATTTTTAAGCCTATTTTGTGTGGAATGCCATTGCCAAACCTGTCCATCGTTGCCTATATGTTGTTTAAAAATAAATATTTTCTGTTCTGAGTGCCGTTGCTCACATTTCTTTATGATATAAGGCATCGGTTTAAGGTGATATTTGTTAGGCATGCAGATTATTTGTCCCTCTTTTAAATTGGAGCGAGCGCGGAGCGATTTGACTGGAGAGGGAGGAAATTTTAGTGAAGCGAGGAGCGGTGTTGAGCGGAGCGACTTAGTGAGAATTAGAGCGGAGGAGCGGGCGGAGCCAACAGCCTCGTTAGCGAGGAGCGGAAATTCTCACCGCTCCACTCCGCTCACATGCTCTGAGCAGCACATAGTGCTGAAGACCTCTTTGGATCTCTTTCCATGAATTCCATGAATTGGCTACTACAAGGTTTATGGCAATAATGGCTGATAGCAGGTGATGCTTTTACTCTGAACAGCTGTATATTTATTAATGAAACTGTCTTCCAGCCACTTATGCAGTACAGGGCCACATGGGAGCTTATCCCAGGGAGCACAGGCGTAGACGTTGGTCAGGAAGCTTGTCCTGTACAGGGCAGACACATGTACACACTCACACACTATTGGCAATTTAGAGACACAATTTCACCTAAATTCTGGTCTTTGTGTTGTAGTAGAAAACCTGCATACCAGGCAGAGACCACAATCTCCACACTCTCAGGGCAGGGGCAGCATTCAAACTCCCGGCCCAGGCTGTGTGAGGCGGGAGAGCCACCCACCGTTACCCCATGCCATCCATTAGCGAAACAGATTTAAATTGTGACTCACCTCTGAGGCAAATGGTTAAGTCCAGAAAAGGACAGGATATTCATTGTATTTATAACACACAGGCAGATGGTAATATATTGCACCTGGTTTGAAAAATAGTCCTGGCTTACACAAAAATTCTCTCCAAAAATATTACAAAATGAAATGTGTTTATGCAGTGGTACATACAGGGTTTACTTGAGAAGTGGACTCTGTTAAATCAATTTATGTCAACCTTCAATCTGATTTGCATAATTTAAAACACTGCTTATGATTGTAGCTCTTTTTGAGTGATATCCAAAGATAGAATAGATACAATTGCAAAATTAGAATGTTGTTTATAAAACAAGGGAATGGCAATGACCATTGGACACAGCCCAAGCCACGTACATACACAATGCTAAATCTTCCACTTGTGAAACCTCTTTGACAACCTGATTTGGTACTAACAGGACTGTCATGAGATAGCTGTTAGTTGAGATAGATAGGTTAGACATCAGGCAAGAAGCAAACAGAATCCAGGATGCTAAGCTAGACAATAGAGATTTCCTGATCCAATTTTTTTTGGTATCCTAATTCTATCTGATTGATTCAATATTTATATCTGCTGATTCAGAGTCCCAATCCAGTCTTTTAATAAATATTTAAATATACATAAAGTAGGAATTGGTACATTGTTCGTCCGAGTGCCTCGTGATTTCTCAGTGTTCTTCCTTATTATATTTTGCAAGTGCCAAATTAGATTTGAGTTACAGTAAATGACGCACTGTTCCTACCTCCTCTCGAAAGGATGGCATTGCATGTAGCTGTTTGGCTACATTGAGTTTCCAATTTAAAGAATTTCCACACAACTGACATCTCAATAGTTTGTAGTTTCAAGCCATGTGCCTCAGAATTACTGCAACCTATGATGGAACCGTACAATCTGCGCAACTGCCGAAAATTAGGTAGATGTGGGAAATTAGATCAATCGGGCTGTGGTACCTGGTACCGATCAATTAAAAAATGTCTGGATAGGCCCTATTTCTGATCTTTGATATCAGCTCACAACATAACTGCTAGACAATGAACTGGAGATCAGATCAGAACCAGAGACCAATCAAGAGGTCAACCTACAACCAACATAACCAAATCACTAAACCAAGACTGACCAGGGGAACAAGACCAAACACACAACTAAGTAAGAAAGCATTAAGTTATCTGACAGATTACAGAGTAGAACCATGGCCACACCTGTAGCAGATAACTTGTGAAGTAGAATGCAGACTACATGTGATACTTTTGTAAACTCTTTGGAAACTAGTTAACTAACATGTATTGTTAATTCTTCTGTTTCAGAATTGTTTAATAACTAAATCTTCTGCATCTTTTGGCAATATTTTCAGCCTCATTTAAAATATCAGTAAAATTTTATATTATACATATTAGTCCTAGATATTTTGATTTCATCATATTGAGCTAAGTCAGAATGAAGATAGCATCTAGAAATGCTTTTCCAGACACAGCTATACATGACTTCAGTTTCAGCCAGTTTGAAATGAAGTGGAGGATCTAGTTCTGGGGTGTCAAACTCCAGTCCTGGAGGGCCCTGTGTAGCTTAGTTCTTTCCCCGTTCCACCACAAATGATTCAGCTCAAGAGCTGTGTGGTAATTAGTACAAAGAGGTGCAAGCAGTTCAATCAGGTGTATTAAATGAGGGGAAACCTAAAAATGCATAGGGCTCCAGCCCCCCAAGACTTGAGTTTGACAACCCTGATATAGTTTATGCTTAAGAAGGTGAAATTACTAATAAAAAAATAAAGTTGTAGCTAGTTTTAACTGTTTCCTCAATGTTAAAAACATCATATGTATAATATATATTCAGGGCTGAGTAATACTTTTCTGCATCTGCACAGCTAGTAGGTGTGAGCATAGACATGCAAACATAACTGGAGCATTGGATGGCCAGTGATCTGCCCCACCAGTAGAAACAGTGCGTGCAACACATGGATTAAATACCAGTGAAGATAAACCACAGCTCAGTGGTGTTGTGTGCTAAAACTGTTTGGGGTCAACCTCACATCCCACATATTGTACTTTTCCTGATGTGGTTTGTTTTCTGGTTTGTCTGTGTTAGGTCTAAGAGGCTGTGTTTTGTTTTGACGGTGCTAAAGTGAGCACAGTGACTTTCAGAACAGCAACTGCTCCCTGCTCCAACTCCTCGAATGACCCTGCTGCGATGCTCTGTGGGTCTGCCAGGCTGAGTCACCTGTCTGTACTCTATTTCCAGATTCACCACCAGGAAAATGGCTGAGCAAGACATGCTTGTCCTAGAACAGCTGAAGCTTGTTTAAATCTGTGGACTCCTACAGTGAAGTGAAGAACAACCCCAAACAGGTAAAATTTTTGTATTTTAAATATAACATGGGTTGTACCTGCACTAGGGTTAGTTTATCAAATTGATTTAAAACTACCATAAAAAAGATGCCACTTTTTTACAGAGTATTTGAATAACTATAAGTGAATACTTACACTGAAGAAGATCTTACAACAATCCCTTAACAGAAAATGTATACTGCTGAAAAACCCCTAATGGAGAATGCATGGAATGCATGATTTATATGAGAGATCGCAGGAAATCATACAAACAGATCTACATTTAATGAAGACTGAGGGGAATATATTTGATGATGCTGAAAATACAGTTTTTAAAATAAGATGAAATGAAACTTTATTGATCCCTGTGGGGGAGAATTCTGGTGTCCAGCCTCCTTGAGAGCTGACCAGATGGCATCCTTGTGAGATGCCTAGGACATCTCAACTAACTTTGAGATTCTAGTTTGAGGAAGCCACTGGGTCTCCTGACGGAGAGTGAATCAAAATAATCCATCCATATTAGATAATGCTTACCAAAGTTTGGAGGCTAGTCCAAGGATTTAGATGTAAATCATAGGAGAATTTGAGGACAAATTAGGAATTAATTGTAAAAATTCATCTTAAGAATGGCTTACATGTTGCTTATCATGGTGTAGTTTTAAGGATATATTGCCATTTATTGTTAATTACTAAAATAACACATGCAATGTGTATCATGTTGCAAAAAGACATTCACTTGAGATTCTAGACAGATAACATCATTATTTATTTGCGCAAGCCTCTGTGAGGCTTTTTTGAATTGGTGACCTCTCTTTGCCTTGGTGATGAAAGAGCACAACAATCAACTCTGAGGACTGACAGTTTGACCCTGATATGTTTAAAGATCAAGGTCAGATTTCACACACTTTAAGTAAACATGGGTTGGTAACAGCGAAACAACAAATGTGTTCGCAAAGCTCATAAAGAATAAGCAATATCATAAATTAACTATTTTTTGAAGAAAAAAAAAAAAAGAAGGTGCTTGAGTTATAGGCCTGGGTGTGATCAGAGCAGACAAATAACCGGGCAAAGAAGAAGTAAGCCCTTCAAAGGAAGTGCAATTATATCTAGTTAAAATCTGTAAGCTTGTGAATTATAGAAAACAGCACCCACACAACCGGTCAGTGAGGGTAGAGAAGACTCGGGTAAGAACTTCTCATCATGCTGAAACCAGAGCTTGTAAAATCCAGGAATTCTGAGATTGCTTAGTTCACTCACAGAAGATCCATTAGTGCTAAGGAATGTAATATTTAATGTAGTATTGATCTAATCTTATTTTCTGTACAGACTTGCCATGTCTTTTTAAAATAAACTTTCCTCACAAAGTATCTACTTCATGTGTACCATTCAGAATACAACAGTAGATGCCATCACTCCTTTGAAAGGAGTTGAGATTTGGTAATTTCTAATTAGGGCAATCAAATGACATTGCTACTGAACATTTTTTTAATATATTTTAAGTTAGTTATCTTCAAATTTAAACTCAAAAAAATTCTATTTACTTTGGACTCCAGAATGCAATTGCCTCTGAGTTGTTTGCATTGTTATTATTATGTATTAAGTTTTAAGATTCATCATTTGAAAGCATAGACTTAGGCTTCTTAGCAGGTGTGATCATTCTTAGTGGCTCTCTGAATGAGAAAGATTGCTTCTTTATGTGAAAATTAATCTTGATTCTGTAATTGTAGATAGGAGCCACCGAGGTGAATTCAAGGGTAAGTGCACCAAGCTAAAGGCTGACTCACCTCACACAGAATATCTCTTATAAATATACTTAAATATTGCTTTTCACTGAACTAAAAATAGAGAACTGGAATAAAAATACCACATTTATGTGCCAAATCAAATGGGAAATATCAATGGTAAAGCTAAATTGTTGACCTAAATGATTAAATAGAGTATATAGAGTGGTAGGTAGAGAGCGTATAATGTGAATTTCTGCAATTGTTGTTCTTACCTGGTTCAACAGGTTCTGCTGGAGTAGGGAGATAGTAGATAGTAGATGTTTTCTTGTTTTATTTTTATCTTTTTCCATATTTGGTGAGTCATATCACATCACTTTTTGAATGAAGTAATGTTATTTGCTGTGATGGCCTAGCATCTCACCTAGTGTTCCCCAGCCTTGTGCCCTGTGCTGCCTAGAATGTGCTCCAGGCTGCCCCATAACCCTGACCAGGATAAGTGGTTCAAGATAGATTGCAAACTCACACTATGTAATGACGTTGCATTATATAATAACGACAGAATGTAACAAACTGCCTCTCCTGGAGCCGACACCTGGAGGGGTTTGCGTATTCCAATGATCCCAGGAGCTAAGTTGCCTGGGGCTTTATGCCCCTGGTAGGGTCACCCAAGGCAAACAGGTCCAGGGTGAGGAACCAGACGAAGTGCGGCTCATAAGACCCCTAATGATGCACAAAATAATGGAACCATGGTTTCCCTTGCCCGGACGCGGGTCACCGGGGTCCCCCCCTGGCCTGTGGGTGGGGCTCCATGGCGAGAGCCTGGTGGCCAGGCCTATACCCATGGGGCCTGGTCGGGCACAGCCCGAACAAGGCACGTGGGTCCCCCCTCCAATGGGCTCACCACCTATAAGAGGGGCCATAGGGGTCGGGTGCAAAGTGAGCTGGGGAGTGGTCAAAGGCGGGGACCTTGGCGGTCCGATCCTCGGCTGCAGAAGCTAGCTCTTGGGACATGGAATGTCACCTCTCTGATGGGGAAGGAGCCTGAGCTGGTGTGCGAGTTTGTGAAGTTCCGGCTAGACATAGTCGGGCTCACCTCGACGCATGGCCTGGGCTTTGGAACCAGTTTCCTCAAAGGGGGTTGGACCCTCTTCCACTCTGGAGTTGCTCACGGGGAGAGGCGCCGAGCAGGGGTGGGCATACTTATTGCCCCCTGGCTGGGCACCTGTACATTGGGGTTTACCGCAGTGGACGAGAGGGTAGCCTCCCTTCGCCTTCAGGTGGGGGGACGGGTCCTGACTGTTGTTTGCACTTATGCGCCAAGCAGCAGTTCAGGATACCCACCCTTTTTAGAGTCCCTGGAGGGGGTGTTGGAGAGCACTCTTCCTGGGGACTCTCTTGTTCTACTGGGGGACTTCAATGCTCACGTGGGCAATGACAGTGAGACCTGTAGTGGCGTGATTGGGAGGAACGGCCCCCCCGATCTGAACCTGAGTGGTGTTTTGTTGTTGGACTTCTGTGCTCATCACGGATTGTCCATAATGAACACCATGTTCAGGCATAAGGGTGTTCATATGTGCCCCTGGCACGAGGACACCCTAGGCCGCAGTTTGATGATCGACTTTGTAGTCGTGTCATCGGACTTGTGGCCGCATGTCTTGGACACTCGGGTGAAGAGAGGGGTGGAGCTGTCAACTGATCACTACCTGGTGGTGGGTTGGCTCCGCTGGTGGGGGAGGAAGCCGGCCAGGCCTGGCAGGCCCAAGCGTATAGTGAGGGTCTGCTGGGAACATCTGGCGGAATCCCCTGTCACATGGAGTTTCAACCCCTACCTCCGGCAGAACTTCTCCCATGTCCCGGGGGAGGCGGGGGACATTGAGTCCGAATGGGCCATGTTCCGCGCCTCCATTGTGGAGGCGGCTGACCGGAGCTGTGGCCGCGGCAGCAATCCCCGAACCCACTGGTGGACACCAGTGGTGAGGGATGCCGTCAAGCTGAAGGAGTAGTCCTATCGGGCCTTCTTAGTCTGTGGGACTCCAGAGGCAGCTGACAGGTACTAGCAGTACAAGCGGGGTGCGGCTTTGGCGGTCTCTGAGGCAAAAACTCGAGTATGGGAGGAGTTTGGTAAGGCCATGGAAAACGACTTCCAGATGGCTTCGAGGCAATTCTGGTCTACCATCCGGCGGCTCCAGGCGGGAAAGCGGTGCAACATCAACACTGTTTATGGTGGGGATGGCGTGCTGCTGACCTCAACTCGGGACTTTTGGGTCGGTGGAAGGAGTACTTCAAATACCTCCTCAATCCCACCGACATGCCTTCCAATGTGGAAGCAGAGTATGGGGACTTGGGTGTGGACTCCCCTATCTCTGGGGTGGAGGTCGCTGAGGTGGTAAAAAAGCTCCTCAGTGGCTGGGCCCCGGGGGTGGATGAGATCCGCCCAGAGTACCTCAAGGCTCTGGATGCTCTGGGGCTGTCCTGGTTGACACACATCTGCAGCATCCTGTGGACATCAGGGGCAGTGCCTCTGGACTGGCAGACCGGGGTGGTGGTCCCCCTCTTTAAGAAGGGGGACCAGAGGGTGTGCTCCAACTATAGGGGGATCACACTCCTCAGTCTCCCTGGTAAGGTCTATTCAGGGGTTCTGGAGAGGAGGGTCCACCGGATTGTCGAACCTCGGATTCAGGAGGAGCAGTGTGGTTTTTGCCCCAGCCGTGGAACAGTGGACCAGCTCTATACTCTCTGCAGGGTTCTGGAGGGTTCATGGGAGTTTGCCCAACCAGTCTACATGTGTTTTGTGGACTTGGAGAAGGCATTCGACCGTGTCCCTCGGGGAGGCCTGTAGGGGGTGCTCCGGGAGTATGGGGTGCCGGGCTTCCTTTTAAGGGCTGTTCGGTCCCTGTATGACCGGTGCCAGAGCCTGGTCCGCATGAGCGGCAATAAGTCGGACTTGTTTCCGGTGAGGATTGGACTCCGTCAGGGCTGCCCTTTGTCACCGATTCTTTTCATAGTTTTTTTGGACAGAATTTCTAGGTGCAGCCAGGGCATGGGGGTTTCCGGTTTGGTGACCTCAGGATTAGGTCTCTGCTTTTTGCAGATGATGTGGTTCTGTTGGTCTCATCGGACCGTGACCTTCAGCTCTCACTGGGACAGTTCGCAGCCGAGTGTGAATCGGCTGGGATGAGATTCAGCGCCTCCAAATCCGAGACCATGGTCCTCAGTCGGAAAAGGGTAGAATGCTCTCTCTGGGTCGGGGATGGGGTCCTCCCCCAAGTGGAGAAGTTTAAGTATCTCGGGGTCTTGTTCACGAGTTGGGGGATGATGGAACAGGAGACCGACAGGCAGATCGGTGCGGCGTCCGCAGTGATGCGGGCACTGCATTGGTCTGTCATGGTAAAGAAGGAGCTGAGCCAAAAGGCAAAGCTCTCGATTTACCAGTCGATCTACGTTCCTACCCTCACCTATGGTCATGAGCTGTGGGTAGTGACCGAAAGAACGAGATCGCAAGTGCAAGTGGCCGAAATGAATTTCCTCCGCAGGGTGGCTGGGCTCTCCGTTAGAGATAGGGTAAGGAGCACGGTCATTCGGGAGGGACTCAGAGTAGAGCCGCTGCTCCTCCGCATCGAGAGGAGCCAGATGAAGTGGCTCAGGCATCTGATCAGGATGCCTCCTGGACGCCTCCCTGGTGAGGTGTTCCGGGCATGTCCCACTGGGAGGAGGCCCCGGGAAAGACCAAGGACACGCTGAAGGGACTATGTCTCTCGGCTGGCCTGGGAACGCCTCGGGATTCCCCCAGAGGAGCTGGATGAAGTGGCCGGGGAGAGGGAAGTTTGGGGTTCCCTGCTGAAACTGCTGCCCCCGCGACCCGACCTCGGATAAGCGGGAGATAATGGATGGATGGATGGATATAACAAACTGAATGTTGATAATGATGATGATGATGATGATGATAACAGTAGGATAATGTTACAATATAAAATTATAATGTAGTTTATAATGTAACTTTGTTACATTTTGTCAAGTTATTACCTAATGCATTGTTATTACATGATGTATTGTTACATGTATGAAACAATGCATTATGTAATAACATCACATTATATGATAAAATTGTTACATTTTATCAAGCTGTTACATAATGCATTGTTACATGGATGGATGATGAAATATTACACATTTACTGCACAATGCAGTATATTAAGCAATTTATTAGTAGTACATTTACCAATGTAAGAACAATTCTGATTTTACTATTCTGATTTAACAGACTTGCTTAGGTAAGCTTATATAAGGCAAGAACTAAATCAACATGCTTCAGTCTGCCAGTAGGTTCTTTAGGTCCCTTTTAATGAGTTATTATTGCAATACGAACTGGATATGTTCCTCTTTAGTACATAACTCAAATATTTAGTCATTCATATGGTCTGGGTATGGAGGGCAATTTAGAATCACTAGTTTGTCTAATTTCCGGCTGTTTGACTGTTTAAGATAGCATGTGCAAAAGGGGAGGGGCACCATGCCACTCACCATTCCACCTTATTTTCAAGTAAATTACAGTTTGAGCACAAGCGATAAAATTTTGCTTTGAAAGGGCCACTGAAGATTTTGGCTACTAATAATTCTGTCTATCATCAAAAATCGCAACACAAACTAAGAATCGTTCTTGGGCATCTGTGTAAACCTGCATATTGCCTAACTTGTTCGGGTGTTTTTTCCTGTGTCATTTATACACAGACTTTAGGATGTAGATCCTGGCTATGATGATGCAACATAGCTGCTATGCTCAAAGGAGCAGATATAAAGAATCTGTATCCAAATATGGAAAGTCTCTTTCTGCATTATGTAAAGGATTTCTGCAGCACACAGAGGATCAAGGAATTTCAAAGCTGTTTTTTTTTTATTTTTGAATGCATTATACATGCTTAGTGCAACATGCCTTTGGACTCCTTCCTTTGAAGTAAAAAAACTATGCTGAATTATCCATAAATGAGCACTAGATTTGGATTGCAGCTGTGATGTTTTTCACATGTTATTGC